AACGATTGATAATTTTCGAGATTTTGATAAATTTTGTCAAAATTCCAACTTTAAATGCTTATAAAAAAAAATCGTGCCTATGTATTTTTAATATTTTTCAACTGATATTGTAACAATATATCAGGAGCCTTGTATTAAATTTTTACACTTTTTGGCCCAACAGATAAAACTTTATTGATATTTATAGAAAAAAAAACTAAAAAAAATTGAAAGATGTAAATGTCCATAAACAGCTCAAAAAGAGTCAAAATATTTTCAAAATTGTATGGTGTATAGGAAATGCTAATATAAACATTCAGTAAAATTTTCATGTATCTACAGTTATTTGTTTTTGAATTACAACAAAATAAGGAAATCGCTACATGAGAAATCGAGTGAAAATCCAATGTTGTAAAAATTTGAATTTCAAACGCTCATAAAAATTTAATTTGACTGTCCGGTAGAGATTTTTTTATTGATAAAGGTAGATAATCTTATAAGGAATCTTGTGTTTCATTTTCAAATCATAGATTTAAAAAGAAAAATTTTTACGAATTCTTAACTCAAAATAATTTGCTAATTTTCATGATTTTTCCATATTTTGTCAATTTTTGAACTTTAAATGCTTATAAAAAAAAATTGTGACTAAGGATTTTTAATATTTTTCATCTGCCTTTGAAACAACATATTAGGAGCCTTCTATTAAATTTTCAAGCTTTCGCAACCAACAAATAAAATTTTATTGATATTTTTAGAAAAAAAACTAAAAAAAAATGGAAAATGAAAATGTCCCTAAACAGTTCAAAATAAATCAAAATATTTTGAAAATGTTATCGTGTATAGAAAATGCAAATATAAACAACCACTGTAAATTTCATGTATCTACGGTTATTTGTTTTAAAGTTACACCAAAAACCAAATTCAATTTTCTGAAAAATCGATTTTGCGTAAAAATTCCCGTTTTTCATTAATTTTTCTTTTGTTTTTCTTGGCGCTTTTGAAAAGTACTGGGAATTTTATTTAAACGTGAACGATATTCACTTTCCAATCGAACAAGATACTGAAGTCGAAAATCGAAGCATTATTTCGACTACTTATCGTGTACACAGACACAAAAAAAATAAATAAAAAATAAAAATAAAAAAAATAAAAAAAAAACACACATCATTGTAAAATCAATACATTCATCGTTTCACTCAGAATCTAAAATTAGAAAATGTACAGTTTTTAATTTTTCATAACTATGGATTGAAAATGTAAAATGAAGATTATCATAAATAGTTCATACTGTAACCAAAAAATCTATAAAATATAGTTGAAGAATATAGTTATAAGAAACAATTATTTTTTACTGACACTTTAAATTCAAATTTGGACTAAATGACATATTAAAACCAAAAATTGAAATTTAAAAATATTATTTGTTGGTATATGAAACTTTTAGAGTATATTGTTATATTTTATATACAGTATACACGCAATTTGTATTTTTAAATTCAAATAGGTTTCCGATTCGTAGTTCATTTCTACTTCGTAGGTACTCAATACAATAACTAATAAGTAGTAATTAATAACGATTAACGACCGCACGACCAACAATAACTAATAATATTTTAGTTATTATTTTTTTTCAGTCTGTACTATTAGCCACAGAATAAAATATAAACGAATAAAATATAAAAATTATCTTATCTCCATTAGGTAAGTATAAAAATTATTTAATTAATAATTACTTATTAGTATATAATATTTATAATTTATAATATAATGTTCTGAGCTAATTTTATATTCAAACATTGAAAATGCAACAATTTCTACATCCAATATTCCAATATATTTACTATTTGGTATTTACTATCTAGTATTTCTATTCGTATTTAACCATATTACACTTATAGCCACCGGCTGGATTATTAAATATATTGTTTTTATTCATTTAGGGTCATTAGTCAATGGTCCATGACCACCCACCCAACTATAAGGTGTATCGCGGATAGGATAGCCGTCATTGTAATTATAACTTTTAAATGCTTTTAAAATTATTTCTGATTAGTGATTATACTTTATGTTAGGTTTTGTTGTGACTTTCTGTCATGTTGGGTACTTAAAGCAGACATTTTTCTCGTCGGTTGTCACGAGGTTATTCATCGAAGTTTTTATATAATTATATCTAATCTACAGTCCACTTTCCTATATTATATTTTGAGCACTGCGTGTATGCTTTTTATAGTGTAATCTATTTTATATGAATAATTTTTATCGTGGTATATGGTATATCCCTATTTACGTACGAAATTATTAAGAATTATTATAAAATATTTGTTGATCTTCGCACGTAGCAACCGTTATCCAGCGCGACGGTAGTGGCGCAAAGCTAATTAAAAAAAAATAGTGGAGTAGCCACTAACGTATAATAACAGGACACCGAGTGACGACCAGCAAGATAGTATATTATAGATTAATAGGTACTTGCTGACGACTCAACGACTGTGATTGTTTGGTGAATTCGTGATCCAGCGCGATTAAGGTCGGTGGCAAATCATATGCTCTTAATTCTGTGATTTGCCATCATGGTCCATCTATGACTCAAGTCTCAAGCCCATTATACATCAGTTACTAAATATAATAATAAAATATGGGTTAGATGTAACGATATCATATTTATATTATAGTATAAGAAAAAAAAAACTAAAATAGAAAAAGAGATATTATAACAACAGGAGGCCAACGATGCATAATTTATTATGCTATTATGGATTATTATTATTATATACAGTCAAATAAAATCTTTGTTACTTTTTTTTCAAATTAACTTTTAACTTAAAAATTACTTTTTGGTACTGTTCTAGTTGACCCCCTCCAAGAAAATATTCCCCCCGCCACTCAGGTTTAGTTGACGTACGCCACTTAATATCTTGTGTTTTCGATGTTCTAGTCAATAATCAATAATTTAAAATATAATTATATAATATTATAAATCACACACGTTAGGTATTCCGGTATTCGTATGTAATTCCCTAATTAGATACTTCCTAGATTCTTATTTGTCAGAGTTTATGTGGCGAAGTAAATTAAACGGCCGCGATCCATTTAATGAAATTTTGAAGAACATATAGCAGAATTTTGGCCAACTGCATAATTTTTTATTATTTTCTGTATTATTATTTATATAAATCGTATGTGAATGATATATATATTATATATTATATATCGATGGCTAAGAGGCCAAAAGTTGTATGTCCAATCTTTCTCAAAATCGTTTTATTAGTCCATAGGGTTTATCTGGGTTGTCATTTTGATTCGGTAAAACATTATAAGTCAATATCATGATTAAAACATGTTTTATTTATACTTTAAATTTTTTGTTTTTAGTGCACACATATAACAAGTCCTAATTTAATGAGACATACGATAAATATTTTAACATGATCTAAATATTAAGCGAACAAATATAACAAGTCCGGACTTGTTACTTTTGTTAAAAAACAATTCATTGAATTTTAGACGTGTAATGTTTTAGATAATATTGAATTTGTTTATCTATTTATAAAAAATTAATATGTCCGGACGTATTATTTTAAATAATAAAAATTTTTAATTTTAAATTACATTAAATAATAATATGATGTATTTACTTAGCATAAAATATCATTAAACACGGGATTTCAGTCGATTTCTCATGTAGCGATTTCTTATTTTGTTGTTATTCATAAACGAATAATTATAGATACATGGAAATTTCACTGAATGTTTATATTAGCATTTCCTATACACCATACAATTTTGAAAATATTTTGACTCTTTTTGAGCTATTTACGGATATTTTCATTTTTCAATTTTTTTTATTTTTTTTTCTATGAATATCAATAAAGTTTTATCTGTTGTGCCAAAAAGTGTAAAAATTTAATACAAGGCTCCTGATATATTGTTACAATATCAGTTGAAAAATATTAAAAGTACATAGGCACAGTTTTTTTTATAAGCATTTAAACATCGAATTTTGACAGAATTTTTCAAAATCTCGAAAATTATTAATCATCGTAATTAATAAATTATAAAATGTTCAGTTTTTATAGCTAAGGATTGAAAATTTAAAACAAGATTCCACGTAAGTAGTTAATATATTAATAAGTATATTTTATGATTATTATGAACCAGTGCACTTCGTTTCCCGTTAAATGTACAAACTATTTATGACTCAAGCTTTGTTCAATTCGTTATTTAATATTTGGTGTATGGTGTTCAAAATTTATCTTAACTTTTCCGTTGCCCGGAATATAAATTCTGATTCGCAGCAGTATATTATCAGGTAGGCAATGCGGACCCCGTGCTGTTTGTACGTAAGTGTATGATTTAACTCTAGAGTATCAATGACCAAAGTTATACTAAGTTTATCATTTTTACTTAATTCCACCTACGGTGGATTAATAGGTGTAATCAATTAATATAAAATCCTAACCCAACCGTACTAAAATCTGATGAATAAAAAAGAAACAAATTTAACCCTTTTTAAATTAGACTATCTTCTACCCAGAGGTCTAATTTACACACGAACATTTATTTTTATATATATAAAATATATTTGGTCAAACAGTAGCGATGGCGTTAAGCAAGTGGACTCACTCGTCTGATCGTAACTTTGACTGATTAAAACGAATGAGTTTGAGACGCTCCATTAATATTCAAATAAAAAAAAAATAGCTATAGTTAGCTATTATTTACTTAGTTTTTTTTCTATTCCGAAAAATTCTGTAAATTTTCAATTTTTACAAAAGTAAAAACATTTTTAATTTCCCCACAAGAAAAGATACTGATGTATATAAAAAAAAACCATGTTTGTTCAATCAAGTCCCACATTGTGCGATACTTTGTCGTGACACCGGTATAGAGTGGCTTCTGCTTGGGCAATGTCAGGGTCTTATATACGTAAGTTCCAACACAATTAGAATGACTCATGATTCTATATAACATGCACTATTTATAATCAAAATTGATAATCTACACAACAATATAATATTAAGATGTCGATTGCTGTGCTTTTGTGTCTAAAGAGAATCATACTTATAATTAATAATTTTTATGAACCTACGTTTTTGTTTAGTTTATATACGGAACACCGAATGATCAACGCAAGTCTTTCACTAAAGGAACATTACAACCGACCAACTGGTTTACTATCAAATTACATGGATCAGCTTGTCAGAGGGCTATCTACGCAGAATACACAAAAAGTCGATATGCTATTTACTCAAACTGTAGGTTTTTGAAATATACAATAAATATAATGCAATGGAATTTTAACAAATCATAATTATTGATGATGACATCATCCATTTAACAGACTAAATTATACGTTCAACTATATTTTAACATTAGTGATTCGAATTTTTTTTTCAGCTTACAAATTACTTATACAGTGCTCATCCCAGCCACGGGTTTGGAATGGACATTGTCAGCTTGGATATACAACGAACCCGCGATCATGGTATACCAAGCTACTCAGAATTCAGAAAATATTGTGGACTAAAAGCTATAAGAAGTGTACAAGATTTATCTAAGATCATGGTTGAAGGTGTAAGTTTGAAAGTATATTAAATATTAAATAATAATACAGTGATTATTTTATTCATGTATATTATAATATTTAGTCAACTGATAAACTATTGAAGCAATACAGAGATTGGACAGATATAGAGCTATTGGTAGGTGCATTGTTTGAGAAACACGAAGACGACTCAATGGTTGGGCCTACGATGAGATGTATTATTAGAGAACAGTTTATAAGAACTAGAATGGCAGATAGATATTTTTACGATTTACCAAATATATTCAATGAATGTTAGTATATCTGAGATATTTTTTTTATAAATGACCCTGATTTTAACTAAATTTTTTTAATATTTAAGATCAACTGACAGAAATCAGAAAAGTGACGCTTGCCAGAATCTTTTGTGATAACAGCAATAATGTCACAATGATGCAGAAAAAAGTATTTTTGATACCTGCGATGGCTGATTTGCAACTCTGTAATTCCCGATTAATTCCAAAAATCAACATCAATCACTGGTCAGAAATGGTGGATACATTTAAAAAATAACCTTAAATTTAATAATCAATAATCAGCCGAAGTACCTTCACTGGATGGTTTCTTCCCTCAAGACACTCGAGCTATTGCACTTAATTTAATTTAATAAACATACATTATGCTTATTGTTTTTTTTTTTAGTATAGATTGTATAATTTCTAGATTAAAAAAAATAATCAATAATCAGCCTTTAATCTAACCTTTTTTCATTTTACTTATATGTACCTATCATGTTTTTAATAAATATTTTTTAAAATTAATAATGAGTCAATATTTAATATTTAATAAATTACATTTTTTATTGTATAAAATACATTTTTAAATGTTGATAAAATTTGTCAGCACATAAAATTTTCATTAATATATTTAAATGATACAGCTGAAATATTTTTGTGAAATTTGAAACAAATGATAAATTGGTCAAGGGATATATTAAAAAAAGGAATTTTTAGGCAAATTTTAATGTTAGTGTTCTGATACGCTGAGTGGTGTCGCCGTTGGGTCCTCGCTTTCCGGTTGCCTTCGCATCAAGCCTTCGTTTTGTTGTAGGTGGTTGGAGGACGATGTTGGCCCTCTCTGGTGTTGACCCGTCGGTATTATAGATATGCTATATATAACATGTATGTAGTATGATTATCAACAATAGTGGACTGGCACGGTGTGCAACTATTCTAAAGCACAGTGGGCCGGTACCAGATTGTAAGTGTTGGACCGCTACTATGGCTAGCAAATATATCTATAATTTTTGTATTTGTAATTTTTTTTATTATTTTATAATAATATATTTTACGATTGGGCGGCTCTTGCCCATCACAAACAACACAATATAGACAAGAGTACACTACCATATAAAAGATACCAAAAACATAATAATATTTAGATATAAATTATAATTTTATAATATGGACAGTTAAAATATTTTTTTTCTGAAACGTAAAACGTTATTGTCCTGTCAGGGATTTTATGCCGTGTGGCGTGTATAGCAAAGCATTTATAAAGTAGGTATAAATAAATTCAGATCGAATTAAAAGACTATGGCCAATTTGACTATTTTATTCCAGTCAAATTAGACGAATAATTAGGCTTTAGCTCGGAAAAATTAGCACCAAGCCAAATTTCGGTTTATATATTATATTTATTTTGTAAGGTGATTGAAATTCGTATACCGCATTGTAGAACTGCCAGAAAATAACAAAATTATAGTGAATACAATATTATGATTTATGAGTAATGAGTAGGTACTGTTCGTTAGCCAACGTGGTGTTTTTTAACTTTAGTAGAACTGCTTCTATTTTCTTCAACAGTATCTTGTTCGATGGGAAAGTGAATTTAGTTAGTGCATTCGAGAGGTCAAAAATTAAAATTCCCAATAGTTTTCAGAAGCGCAAGGAAAAACAAAAGTAAAAAAACTGAAACCGATGACAAAATCAAAAACAAAATCGGAAAAAATTGGAAATCAGTATTAAATCCAAAACCAAAAAAAATTGGAAACCAGTGTATAAATCGAAACTAAAACAGAAATTTTTTTCAATCGGTTTCAAGCCATTTAAAAGTGATAATTGACAAACCTGCGGAACCTTGTTAACAGTCAAACACCTAATTGCCGACTGTCTAAAGTTCAACCAAGAACGGAACAATATAATATCTCACAACCTCGATTCTGCACTCGGACCCAACCAAGAAAACAACCTGGATATAATCAAATTTCTGAAACAAACAAAACTTTTCGGTCTTGTTTAAAAAAATTATTAATCATTATTGTTACTTGTATTATTGTATAAAAACCTTGTTTGTGACTAATGGCCTTTGTCGTCGATGTTAACTTTTAGATCAATAAAAAAAAAAAAAAAAAAAGTGATAATTGATAACCCAAAATGTATATTTTCCCCTTATTGCATTTATGCTTCCACTAATTTAGAGAACACTTTTATTTTGAAATTAACACTGCCATTTATTCCTAATAAAAAGTCAACCATTATAATAAAATAAATAAATTATAATTTAGATTTCAGCCTTTTAGCCTTTTTTTACAACAATTTAATAAAATACATTATATATATATATATATATATTATATAGAAATATGTAATATATTACTTATTAACTATGGTCCTCGAAAGTTTAGTATAATATGCGTTAATACTTCTAACTGAAATACTTAATTTACAAGAGCTAAATATGTTTTTCTTATAACTACTTATATACTTAATAGTTAAATCAGTAATCGAAAATACTCAGAAAAAAAAACATAATGAAAATTGTGTTTACCAACACAGTTCATTATTTATAGTAATTTTTCATAATATAAAATTGAGAACAATCTTATTTCATAATTATTATTTATTAAGTAATAGAAATTTATCTACTACCTATATCTACTTCAATATATATATCTTTTTTTAAATGTATTGGAAGCGTTAAAAAATATATTTTGGGGATAAAGATGGGCCCTCAAAATCAATGGGCCCCGTTACCGTGCCACCCTTGCCCCCCCCTTAATCCGGGCTTGTGTGTTAGCTTGTATTTTAGAGTGGACTACTGGAGCAATGATGAATGAATATTTTGATTTTACAATGATTTGTATATGATTCTCGTATAACGATTTTCTTATTTTGTTGTTATTCAACAACTATTAACCGTCGGTATTTAAAATGTCCATCAAATGTTTAAACTATCATAATATACATTATATAATGTTCAAAATATTTCGACTTTTCAGTGATTTATAGACATTTGAATTATCAAATTGATAGTTTACAAATTACTATTTAGTAGTAAAATTTATAAAATGTTCAACTTTTATTGCTAAGGATTGAAAATGTAAAACAAGAACTCTCAAAAATAGTTCATAGTGAGTGTTCATACTCTAACAAAAAAAAACTAAATAATCTATTAAAAACACAGTTAATTTTTACAGACATTATAAGTTCAAATTTGGACGAAATTACTTATTAAAACAAAGAATAACGATTTTATTCATTTTGTTGTAATTTAAAAATAGTAGGTGTTCGTGGATTTATAAAACTTTTAATTCCGTTCTTACAATGTCCGGTTAAATTTAACCTACACATAACCCGTATAATTTTGGGCAAAAATGACTATAAACTACTGCTGTACTAATGCTTAATAATCTGTAGGCAATGTGGTTATGATCATAAAAAGGTGGGCAAGTGGGTGTCGATCTGCTGTACAGTAGGTTACAAGTGGGTCGCTGTATAATGGATGATATTAAATTTGAATTCAACGATATAATATCATTGTATAAGAAAAACGATTCTGAGCGGAGACGGTATGTCAGTATGTAAAAGACACATTATATACATATCTATGGTATTAAACAAAAAATTGACCTATAATAGGTACCTATAATAAATTCCAAATTAATCATATCACAATATCCATTAGGTACTGGTAACGCGTTATACATCAACAAAAACCGTGATACTATCATAGATATATAATAGTACACTTTAGAAGTTTCAAGTACCCACGAATAATATTATTCAATCACAACAAAATAACTAAAATAGTTATTCTAGGTATGTAATTTCGTCCAAATTTGAATTTAAAATGTCTGTAAAAAATAAGTGTGTTCATATATTTTTTAGATTTTTGGTTATAGTATGAACTATTTATGAGAACCTTTGTGTTGAATTTGTAATCCTTAGCTATAAAAACTGAACATTTTATAATTTATTAATTACAATGATTGATAATTTTCGAGATTTTGATAAATTTTGTCAAAATTTGATCTTTAAATGCTTATAAAAAAAAACTGTGCCTATGTATTTTTAATATTTTTCAACTGCTAATGTAACAATATATCAGGAGCCTTGTATAAAATTTTTACACTTTTTGGCCCAACAGATAAAACTTTATTGAAATTTATAGAAAAAAAACTAAAAAAAATTGAAAGCTGTAAATGTCCATAAACAGCTCAAAAAGAGTCAAAATATTTTCAAAATTAAATGGTGTATAGAAAATGCTAATTTAAACATTCAGTGAAATTTTCATGTATCTACAGTTGTTCGTTTTTGAATTGCAACAAAATAAGGAAATCGCTACATGAGTAATTGAGTGAATATCCAATGTTGTAAAAATTTGAATTTCAAACGCTCATAAAATTTAATTTGACTGTCCGGTAGAGATTTTTTATTGATAAAGGTAGATAATCTTATAAAGAATCTTGTGTTTCATTTTCAAATCTTAGATTTAAAAAGAAAAATTTTTACGAATTCTTAACTCAAAATAATTTGCTAATTTTCGTGATTTTTCCATATTTTGTAAATTTTTGAACTTTAAATGCTTATAAAAAAAAATTGTGGCTAAGGATTTTTAATATTTTTCATCTGCCTTTGAAACAACATATTAGGAGCCTTCTATTAAATTTTCAAGCTTTCGCAACGAACAAATAAAATTTTATTGATATTTCTAGAAAAAAAACTAAAAAAAAATGAAAAATGAAAATGTCCCTAAACAGTTCCAAATAAATCAAAATAATTTGAAAATGTTATCGTGTATAGAAAATGAAAATATAAACAACCAGTGAAAATTTCATGTATCTACGGTCATTTGTTTAAAGTTACACCAAAAACCAAATTCGATTTTTTGGAAAATCGATTTTGCGTAAAAATTCCTGTTTTTCCTTAATTTTTATGTTGGTTTTCCCGGCGCTTATGAAAACTACTGGAAAATGTTTACTTTTGACCCCCCAAAGTACCAACTAGATTCACTTTCCTATCAGAAAAGGTACAATTGAAGAAAATCGAAGCACTTTTACTGTCCCAAAACGTGATGACAGACACAAAAAAAAATATAAAAATATAAAAACACACATTATTG